AAGACAAAGGATTTGAGTTTGCTGCTGGCCGTCTCCTCCGCCTTGCTGCTGCTGCAGCAGACACCGAAACTCCTGCTGCTGCTTATCTACAGCAGCAGCAACAACAGCAGCAGCAACAACAGCAGCAGCAACAGCAGCAGCAGAAAGAACAACAGGATGAACAACAGCAGCAAACAGAGCTGCAGCAGGACCACAACGAACCGTCAGAGCAGCCAGAGGAGCAACAGCAGCAGCAACTGAACTCTGCATATCAATCTGCTGCTGCTGCTGCTGCTGCTGCTGGTGCGGTGGTGCAGAAAGGGCAGGTGGGGGCCCCAGGGGGCCCCCGCAGAGACACTGGGCTGCACGGGGAGCTACCATACTCTCAAGACACGGTGGAAGGGCCGCCCGAGGGGCCCCCCTGCATGGTGGGACGGGTAGAGGTCCCTGGGGAGTGTTTTGGGGCCTCCATGGTGGTGCTGCTGCAGCGGCCGCTGCTGCTGCAGGCGGCGCTATATAACAAAGCCCTGATGCTGCTGCTGCAGCAAGACGGGAGACTCTGGGGGCTGCTGCGGCAGATCAAAGAGGTATGCTGCTGCTGCTGCTGCTGTTGCTGCTGATGGTAATGCTGCTGTTGTTGTTGTTGCTGCTGTTGTTGGCATTGCTGCTGCTGCTGTTACTGTTGTTTCTGCTCCACGTACTGCTGTTGCAGCTGCTGCTGTTGCTGCTGCTGCTCTCCTCTGCTGCTACTCTCCTACTTTCTTGCTGCTGCTGCGCTGCTGCATTCCCGTGCTGCAGCTGCTGCTGCAGCAGCAGCAGCTGCTGCTGCTGGTTTTGATAGAGAGGCTCGTGCCTGGGGAATTGGTCCTTGGTTGCTGCTGTTGTGTTTGCTGCTGCTGCTGCTGCTGCTGCAGCTGCTGCTGTTCGAGTCAACACACACAGTTCAGGAGTTTCGGTTGCTGCTGCAGCAACGTCTGCAGCAGCATGTAGAGGAGCAGCAGCAGCAGCTGCTGCTGCAACCAGCAGCGCATGCGCACAGGCCTGGGTTCCGCTGGCCCCCACCCCAGACACCCCGAGGTCAAGCCGCAGCAAAGTCAGCGGCAACAGCTGCAGCAGCAGCAGCTACAGCAACAGCTGCTGCTGCTGCTCCTGCTGCTCCTGCTGCAGCTGTTGCTGCTGCTAAGGGGGCCCTCTGCACCGACATTGAGCTGCTGCTGCAGGGGGCCCTAAGTTCCCTCCCCAGCAGTGCAGCAGCCCAGGAGCAGCAGCGGCAACAACAACAACAACAGCAGCAGCAGCAGCAGCAGCAACAGCACCTGCTGCGGCTCACCTGTAGCATGCGCTCCGGCGTTGCAGCAGCTGCAGCAACAGAAGCAGCAGATGCAGCAGCAGCAGCAACAGCAGCAGCAGAGCTCCTGAGCTCGCTGCAGGTCCTCCCGGATGCCCCGCCGCCCCTGCACTTATTCCTGACATCTGTAAACCCTAAACCCTCTCTCTAAACCCTAAACCCTCACTCTAAACCCTAAACCCTCATTCTATACCATAGGCCCTAATTCTAAACCCTAAACCCTAAACCCTGGAAAACGTTGCGAGGAGGGCGCAGGCACATCTGTCTATACGCACAGAAACGCAGTGCTTTAAGGGGGGTAAC